AAACGACAGTCATGGCGAAATTATGTTTCTAAAATTAACTCACGTACACTTATTTCTAAGGTATGGAATATGGTGAAGAAGATAAAAGGTAAAGGTTCCAAATGTAGTGTGCACCATTTTAAGGAGGTTGTCTCTTTTTTAACAGAAAAATCTGATATTGCTAACACATTAGGTGAAACTTTAGCCAAACATTCCTCCTCATCCAATCATTCACCAACTTTTCAGAAATTTAAAAACCAGCAAGAAAAAAAGAAAATTAATTTTAATTCAGATAATGGGGAGGATTATAATGAAATCTTTTCCATTCATGAGCTCCATACTGCCCTTGGGCAAGCTCATGACACTGCTTCAGGTCCCGATAATATTCATTATCAGCTTCTTAAACATCTCCCTGAATCATGTTTAGAAACATTATTAAATATCTTTGACAGTATATGGACTTCTGGTAATTTCCCACCATCATGGCGCAATGCCATAATCATTCCTATTCCTAAACCTGGCCGGGATCATACAGATCCGTCTAATTACAGACCAATTTCTTTAACTAGCTGTGTTTGCAAGACAATGGAACGTATGGTTAATAATCGTCTAGTTTGGTACCTGGAAACCAACAACCTCATCACTGACATTCAATGTGGTTTCCGGAAAAATCGTAGTACCATCGATCATTTGGTGCGATTGGAGTCTTTCATAAAAAATTCCATGCTAAATAAACAACATGCTGTGTCGATTTTTTTCGATCTTGAAAAGGCATATGATACGACATGGAAATATGGAATTTTGAAAGATCTCCATGATTTTGGTTTGAGGGGTCGTTTACCCCTTTTTATATCACAGTTTTTAGAAGACAGACAATTTCAAGTCCGAGTGGGGACTACCGTGTCTGATCATTACAGTCAGGATCAGGGTGTCCCTTAAGGCAGTATTTTGTCTGTCACTTTGTTTAGTGTTAAGATCAACAGTTTATTAAAGGTTTTAAACGATTCAATTGATGGATCTCTTTTTGTGGATGATTTTAATATTTCTTGTCGTGGGAAAAATATGCATACTATTGAAAGGCAAATGCAGCTGTGTTTAGATGAAATAAATAAATGGTGTCTTGACAACGGCTATAAATTTTCTAAATCAAAAACTAATTGTATACATTTTTGTAGAAAATATAAACCGCATAAAGACCCGGTACTGTTTCTCAATGGCACTCCCATCAAAGTTGTAAAGGAGGCCAAATTCTTGGGTTTAATATTTGATTCTCATTTAACGTTTCTGCCGCATATTAAATCACTTAAAACTAAATGCCTGAAGGCCCTTGAATTATTGAAAGTCGTTTCAAATTCTAAGTTGGGAGGGGATCAAGCCACTCTCCTACATCTATATCGATCATTGGTCCGCTAGAAACTTGATTATGGCTCCATCGTATATGGTGGAGCCTGCAAAAGCAACCTTCAACTTTTAGATTCTGTCCACCACCAAGGCCTGAGACTTTGTCTTGGGTCCTTTCGAACTTCTCCTACTGACAGTCTCTATGTCGAGGCCTATGAGCCTTCTCTTCAACAACGGCGTATCAAATTATCCTTACAGTACATAACCAAACTATATTCTAACGAGTCTAATCCTGCATTTAACAGTGTTTTCAATCCTCTTTATGAGGATTTGTACAACAAAAAGACTTCTCTTGTTCCGCCTCTTGGGCTCAGAATTAAACCATTCATTTCTGCTGCTGGCATTGATCTTGAAACTATATCTCCTGCCCATCTTCTTTCTTCTCCGCCTTGGCAATTGGTTAGGCCACAAGTTGACCTAACATTAACTACATTTAAAAAATCAGAAACAAATGAATTACAGTATTAACAAGAATTTAGTCAATTACGAAATAAATATAATACACATAAATCCTTCTTTACAGATGGGTCCAAGGATGGTGGCGCGGTTGCTTGTGCCACTGTCATTGGGTCCAAAACAATCTCTTCCAGATTACCCAATGACAGTTCAATTTTCGCAGCAGAAGCAAACGCAATACTAACAGCTCTTAAATATATTAATAAACACCGTAAATATAAACAATATATCATCTTTTCCGATTCTCTTTCGTGTCTTGAGGCTATTACAAATCTTTCTTGCAAACATCCACTTTTATTAGAAATTATTGAATTGTACAATGAACTTGCTACTGGCCAATGCGACATCGTCTTTTGTTGGTTACCTAGCCACGTTGGCATTTCTGGGAACACGGTGGCTGACCTTGCTGCCAAGGCAGCACTCAGCAAGTCTGTGACACCACTTCTTATCCCATACTCTGATTATAAAGCCAGCATTAGAACATACATCCGCGATCTAATGCAAAAGAAGTGGGACACCTAAGTAGGTATTAATAAATTACATGCAATAAAACCCTACATTGGTTACACCTACTTGGGTTGTCAGTCCAGATTTGAAGAGGTCATTATGCGCCGATGTCGCATTGGCCACACTAGATATACTCACGAATATTTACTGAAAGGCGAAGATCCTCCGTTTTGCATCCCTTGTGATGAAAGAATCACAGTCAAGCATGTCCTGCTTGACTGTGTTGAATATTCCATCACAAGAGATAAGTATTTTAATGTCAAAACATTGAAGGATCTTTTTTATAATGTTAATTATCATTTAATTATTGAATTTTTAAAAGAATTAGATTTGTTGACTGATCTGTAAATAGCTAAATATTTTATTGTTGGTAGTTTATATTAGTAACTGAGATTGTTTGTGGCTGTACCCTCAAAGGGCATTGACGTAGCGTAAAATTGTTGTCCTCCTGAGAGGGTACGTAAGTCCCAAAACTTTCAAAGTCATTTTAAACTTGCCAGGATTTTTAGACGTAGCATTCTTGTCTTTTTAATTGTAGCTAACATTTCTTACAATCGCCAGCAGCTGAAGGGATGATGTAAATCCAACTAGGGTCCATGCAGGTAGCCACGGTACTGTAAGTCCCCATGGTACCTAGTTTGGTGATCTACCTTCTGGTGTTGGCGATCAATAGCTTGTTTTTATATTGTATTGTCCAAATAGTGCTATCAGTTTTACCTCTCCATACTAGTTTTAGTTGTAATTGTGATATTCTAGTTGTTTTACTGTCCTTCGTCGGCAGGTTTTTATAATATACATATGTTTCATTTCAAAATCAAATATGTTCTCGTCACGATATGGCTGAAATATTGCTGATGTGACGTTAAATAATAACTCACTTACTCACTCACTCAAGCCCCTTGGAGCCGAACTCAAGATGAACGACTCAAACGGCACAGTGGTGTTAATCAACAACGGAAGAAACCCATTGAGGCTCGGCCGACCATTGGCGAGGACACTTGGTATGTCACTGGACGAGATAAAACCAACAACTACCGTCATAGGCACGAAGTTACCCGACCTAGTACCGTACCGAAAGCTGTGCATTCATCTCAGTCAGGTGAGCACAACGGACAACATTCAAGGGGGTCACCCTTCCACAATACTGAGAGCCGTACCGGTGAAAACGGAAAAATACAACAACGGCAGAACCGAGTCGTTTTCGCCGCGGCAGTATAAGAGGTTAACCCAGGGCAACATCCCTGAGCTGATAATATCGGTGTTAGACATAAATCATAATCCCGTGAATATAGGATACCTCAGCATAACGCTGCACATAAAATGACCATTGCACAAGGCGCCGGGATGAGGGTGAAAAAATGCGTCAATACGGGGATCTCCGACCTCGGGGACATACGCGGATTCGACGACCCCGGAGAAGATGGTAAATTGTACGCCTTGCAACTGAAAAACAAGATTTACAAACGCGTTGAAGTCCCCTCCAGTGGAACCCTAGGTGATATAGTAGATACCTCAAGAGCAGTCGTCAACACTCGGTACGCCCTAGTTAGCACCGGTGATGATAAATGGATAGTATACCCATCGTTCGGGGGCAAACTGTTTGACTTAGAAGATGTTGAGAGTACTACCGTCGCCCGAAACAAGACATATACGCTTGTCTTCACCGACGACGACAAGTGGGTGTTTTTGCCGCTAAAGTCGACTGGTTTCTTAATATTAGGCTCAGCTCCCCCTGCGTGTTCACGGAGAACAAAGACAACTACCTAAACAAAGTCGTGAATAACGGAACCCTGCTCGTGGCTTACGTCCCGGCTCAGAGCCGTAGCGTAGTCATCAGCCCAGCCGCCAGTATGGCAGCCCACATACTATCGAGTAAACCGGAGTGCAAAACGTGACATTGCAGTTGGTGTCTGAATTCGAAGGCGTAGTCAACATCCTGGAGAGTCTACTGGATAACGCCACCCTGATCATCAAAGTCTACATAGGGGAACCATCACAGGATGAAGTCGAAATCGTGAAGGGGGTCAAACTTGGGTGGGTGAAACGGCACCAGTATCAGGTTTGCACTGTTTACGTGCGGTTGAATGCCGACTCCCACACCAGTCTGCAGGGGGTCACCGTGACCGTGGAAGACACGATATCACTCACCAAGATCTTCCTACGCGACAACATACACTTCATGGGGTTGAAGTGCGCCCCCGAGAAATTATCAGAAAAACAATTGGAAACTATCTCGTAATAGTATTATAATAATGACTAGTCATCGCCCCAACATCATGCTTAACGATCTAGGGGACATAGAGGGGTTTCATCAGCCTGGTGAGGAAGGTGGCTCATACGTCCTACACTTGATATTAACATATTTTTCGAACCGAAGCGAGGGAAGTACGTTGACAAACTTTGCTCCCTATGCTCGCATATAGACAAACTGGTCCTAATTCTCTGCTACAGTTTGCCTGTGGTTTGAGAGTATCGGGGGTGGAGGGAGAGTTTTGATTCTCAGAAGGGAGTCATTTCATCCTAGAATATTGTCATTCCAGCGTATATCAGTTCAAAGATTAGGTCACTTTATTGTCCCCCGCCGCAACGTCGAACGGCGTACTATGTATTCGGCAGCGTTCGTATGCACGACAGTACGTAAGTAAGTACGTCCCTATTCTTGTTAGCGAGATATTTCATGCACTGTTGTACCCAGTGTCTTCAAATTTGGTGGCATCCTACGTTGGGGGATTACCTTATTTTCAAGGCCACCATTACACATTGACTACTTTTCAAACTTATGTACACTTGATATCTCATAAAAGGCTGTACCCAGTTTTAGCCTCCAAGCTGAAGAATATATTGCCATTTCTTACAAATTTGATGTCAGGAATTAACATAGCCTGTATCAGGGGAAGGGTAGGGTAGAGTAATAGGGGATTGAGTACCCGGGTAGAAAATATGTAGCTGTCCCACCCCTAATACACACTGATGCTGACAGTGGATACGTGCACCTGCATCTCTACATTCAAATCTACTATATTCCTGAAAATATCTTCAGTTAGGAGAAGATGACTAAAACTACATCACACAAAAGGTAATAATATCCTATGTCACCAAAAGATAGAAACTTTGTTATAAATCTGTTTGTAAATCTGTTATATTTTGTTTTCTTTCAGGGCGGGGGACATTGTCATGTTAGTGGCAAAAACTTGTTCTATCCTCGGACAGGATCACTCATGAATGAAGTTTAGTGGTAGCAATTTCATCATGTCAAGCTGGTCATTCTTGGAACTGTCAGGACCATACCCGTACTTGTCTCACGTTAGACAATTTCGGATTAAACTCTCTGAAATACCGTCAGTCCATTATTTAAATTTGTATTCTGTATAGGGCTTGTGCGTGCGTGTGGATATTATAAGTTGTTCACTGGTCTCGAGGGGGACATGGGCTGATGTACCCTCGATGTTTGTTTATGTTCCCTGAGCCCGAAGGGAGAGGATACATAAAGAAACATCGAGTGTACATCACCCCATGGGCCCCGAGGGACCAGTGAAAAACGTATTTATCTTACCGAAAACCTCAATTGTAATTCTGAACTGTTTGAAGCACGTGTATCATAGTATGGAGTACCAGACGACATAACAAGAAAAACAAGTTTAGAGTTATCTCTCTTCTATCGAATTTGCATTCGCAAAACATCGGTAATTTCCGTACATCATACGTGATTCAATTCGAGATAACGAATTACTACTACGAAGTACTAAATGATTTCGGCATTCCAAGCGGGGTACACAGAAATTGTTACTCGCTTGTTAGCATTGAAAATAACAGCGCTCAGGCAATCAGAAAACGAAATCTGTGAGGCAAGATAACATAAATTGTTAACTGGTCTCTAGGGGGACATGGGTTGATGTACCCTCTGTTTTTGTTCATAAAAATAAGCAAACATAGATGGTACATCAACCCATGAGTCCCGTGTGACCAGTTAACAACATATGTATCTTACCGAACACCTCAATGTTAATTTGGAACTGTTTGAAGCACGGATTTTGGATCGTAATAAGGACTACCGGAGTTAGGAAACAGTTCAAACACTACTAGCACGAAGTACTGAACGAATTCCCACAGGTCGGCATTTCCAGCGGGTAACATAGAAAATGTTACTCGCTTGTAAGCGGGGTACATTGATTGTCTCCGCCGATCAGAAAACGACATCTATGTGTGAGAAAATGTGTATGTGCGCGTACATGTTTTTATAATATTTGTATGAGTGGACGTCAGGTAGATCAAAGATATTTTTGGCATCATAAACCGAGTACATTTTTGAATACCACAGAAATAGCCAATCAAATGACTTGACCTATCATACTTGTTTTTCAGATATGAATGACAGGGCAGAATACACTTTCACACACGCTGTTTACCATCATCATTTTATTCTCATTCATAGATACACATATATGATGTAATATTTACTCAAATATATACCAAAGGAAGGAATCTGTGGAGACTATCTTCGTCAGCTATATACTGAACCGCAAAAGAAATGTCACACTGATAGCGGTTTCTTAAAGCACACGCTTTAATTCACTCTATGTAACAATCAAAACGGAGGATTGAAAGTTATGGTTAACAAATAATCGGGAATCACATTTAGAGTTCACACAAACAAAATCACCAGAAATGGTACCATGGAGTCAGTATCGTGTGTGGCTTCCATGGGCATCGATGGAAACGTTGCATTGTCTGTACATGAAATGAATTAGCCGGTTGATTAAGGCCACGGGCACTTGGGTTCATACTGTGCGAAATGCCTGATCGAGTCCGGCCGACAACTGGTTGGAGGTCATTCAGTTTTCTTTGAGTCTCCTTCCAAAGATGTTCTATTGAACGTAAATCCAAACTGGGTGCAGGATATTGTAGGGTTTGGATACCATGTTGTCTTAGGAAGGCCAATGTTACCCTGGCAGTGTGGGCACGAGCGTTGTCTTGCTGGAAGATGTGATTTCTGTAACGTCCAAATCGTGGTACAACGTTGGGAGTTATGACTTGGTCAATATAGCGAGCAGCTCTCACGTCATTTCCTTATCCTGGACCAAGATTCTGGAACACCACAGTATCAACTAACTGGTTCAGACTGATTACAACCCACACCATAATGCTTGGACCACCCCACGAGTCTTTTTCAACAATACACTCGTTGGAAAACAGTTCCCCATGCCTTCACCATACTTTCACTCTGCCATCGACTGTCGAAACACAATATCGGTCTGTTGTCCCAATGGTCTGACGTGCTGTTTCCGTCGCTCTATGGAAGCGATCCTGCAGATGGTTGCGCACAATCTGTCGGTCTTGACGTTGTGATGTTACTGAAGGTCGCCTACTGGGTGGATGGTCTTGGATGCTGTTAGTGACCTGAACCACTCCTGCAGTCTGTAGATTGTCCTTACATGAACGTTAAGATGATTGGCTACCCTCCGAGCTGTCTGGACAACTTGCAACCGTCCACAGACTTAGTTCCTCTGATCTCTCGTAAGTCGTGGCATGGTGATTGTGTCAAAACAACAATGATTTCAGGCAAGTGTGGAACTCCCTTTCATTGGTAGGGTTGTCACGACATGCACGTGCATTTTCATGAATATCATACGGAACCTTATACCATGTCTGCCTTTTAGGTACGTTTGGTCGATGTGCCTATTCATCAGAAAACACAGTGTTGTTTGTAATAGCTGTCAATTTGGATTGAAAAACCTGTTTACAAAACGGTACAATCATAATAAAAACACCACCTTTTAAGACCAAAATGTTGCATTTGGTTTTGAAAGACGACGTTTCTTTTGTGGTTCAGTATATATCACGACAGCTGACATTCAAGAATCTCTGTGTTTAATTACATTCCCAAAAACAATCCAATGAATGTCATAACCTTTCCTCTAACGGAAGCAATTCTTAAGTTAACAACTCCTGAATTCCCACAGCACAATACTGCTCAACCATCAATGACGCTTGAAACCAGCCACACTTTATTTGTAACACCAGAGAACAAATATATACAGTTGACGATATCTGGTGCAAATTCGGTATTGTCTTCATATGAGCTTTCACCCATTTCCGACTGACAAATAATTAAGTTATTGTTTCACTGAAATTGAAATGTTCCATACATGGAGGCAACTACTTACATGTATGTTAGCCCTGTTCATAATCTGAAACGGCTTCAATATGTATCCAATGATTTGGTCATCAATGTTACCCTTATAGACCAGGTTGATTCGGGACCTCAGCTTAAGTTAATGTTGGTAAAGAACAGTGTGGTTTTCTTTATAATTGCTGACTGGGAATACGTGAAACGGAGAGATAATGGTAACATTTTCACGCAGCTGTTTAATATTTATCTATTCTAGACTCAATCAGTTTTCGAAGTGATGAATCGTTTGTTTTCTCAGCCAACATTTGTAATCTTTGGAAAAACAAATCCTTGGCATACTGGTAAAGCATAACGTCAAACCTGTTTAAGTGAAGTATTCTGTCACGATTTATATTCGACAGATTTGACTTGCCACTCCGCGTTTCATTGGTTGGAACATTCTCAAATTTTGTTACGAAATTCAAGTTGAAGGTGTGCTCAAACAACACCTGAGATAATTCTTGATAAGCCGTCAAACCAAAAAAAGGCCATGCTCCGTAAGTTGTCTTTGGCACTTGCCAGCATGCGATAGTGTCTTTCTTCGTACGTGAGACCGGAAGCGGAAGTATTGTAACAACCAACCAGGCTCAGGTCGGTTAACATCCGGGTTTGTCTATTTATTCCCAGATTTGTGAAACAGCCGATGAAGTCTTCAAATGTTACGTTTTTCCAGTTTTCCTTAAAGCATCGAGGAAGCTCTGTACTTGTTGCAGCATGACCATTGCAAATATACCTATTACTTAGCCATGTTGCTCCTCTTCTTACATGCTGCCACTCGCTGACGAACCTTCGAAGAGGGTCTCTCACCATTGTCATGTACAAATGCCTGAAACACGATCATTCAATGACAAGCAGGTAGCAAAAGTACTGTACGTCCCCATGGTCCCTAGTATGGTGATCAACCTTCAGTTGCTGGTGATCTATAGCCTGTTTTTTATGTTGTAATGTCCGAAATACTATTTAATTTGCATGTTAGTTTTAAATCTCTAGCTGTGATATACTAGCTGTTTTACAGTTCTTTGGCGACAGATTTCGTATTATAATATTATAAAGTAGTTATGTGTGAACTGCGTGCTATTTGCTAACATTTGTAATGAAGATGTCAGTCCACACAGCCTCAATCACATTGCTTCATATGTTTCTTCTATTATCGATTTCAATCTTGGAATCGATTCTCGTCTTATCTGTTTATGATGACATTCATGTTGGCCTCCACCTCACTTATCAGCCCTCTCCTGTCACAGTGGCAGACCCAATTTACATATTACTATGTAATCTTTATTACTTGAATGCGTTTCAGCACAAGTCAGTACCTCTGTATTCTCATTTTGTTCACACGGACATTACCATGTAAGATAATACAAGCACATTGTAATGAGAGTGAAGTCCCAAAACTTTCAAAACTAAATTTAAACTTACTAGTTTTTTAAAACGTAGTATTTGTTCTCTTTTAAAGTTGGCTGAAACTTTCCTACAATCGCCAGCGGCTGAAGGGATGGTGTAAACCCAACTAGTGTCCATGCAGGTAGTAAAGGTACTGTCCCCATGGTCCCTAGTATGGTGATCTACCTTCAGTTGTTGGCGATCTGTAGCCTTTTGTTATATTGTATCGTCCTCTATAGTTAAAGTATTTTAGATTTCATTACTAGTTTTAAATATACATTTGTGATAGTCTAGTTTGTTTTACTGTCCTTTGTCGACAGATATTTTAAATTGATTACCTTGTTTTCAAATACACAATGCCATTTTAGAAAGTGGTCAAATGTAACATATGTTATATTTGGGATTACACATTCACCTGTGTGCTGGCGATTAGGTGCCTGACTCTGAGGGTGTGGGTTCGAATCCCGGATGGGACCCAAAAGGTACTAGAATCTGTACTTTACTAAGAAAGTGTAATCCCAAATATAACATGGTACCTTGTTTTCATCGCTATATGGCTGTAATATTGCCGATGCGATGTAAATTTTTAACTCACTCGCTAAAATGAGATTGTGAAACAGGTGCTGTGTCTGAACCAATTTTATGCCAGCAACAACATGGTGACACATGGCAACAACATGGCAATGTACCTAATGAGTAGTCTACACTTGCTTTTAGTCAACAGGAGTCAACAGTATCACCCCAAGTATCCAACCCAATAATTCCCCTTTAAATTAAACATGGAAGTTGTGATTTATGTCAATTTGTGACTGAAACTTCAGGCTCTATGAGAAGACAGGCTTTACGTTCACATGGTGTCTAAAAGAGGCATTGGTGTTAAAGTATGAACACATAACTACGGAAGGGACATTGTCGCATTGTGATCCTCACACAAACAAGAAATCAAACTGCCTCAACAGATGCAGATTTTGAGCAGATGCACTTGCCCAGAGAGAAACTACGTGTGTCGTTTGTGCTCAAGTATCGGACAAAGGACATTAAAACAACACGAATATCGCAATTGGAAATATTAAAACAAGCATTTAGCTTAGAAAGTATTTGCCTATTTGGGACAATACAATATATAACACAGGCTATAGATCGCCAATAACTAAAGGTTCATCATTATACTAGGGACCTTGCGGACGTAATTTCAAGTAAAAGAACACACAAAACGTATGTGTTAGAACCACTAGAACAAAATTTTAAAAAAGCAGCATAACTATTTCTGCGCATGCGTACTTCAATTCACTCACTACACATGCGCAGAATTCATTGAAAAGTGTGACAATGCAGCTACATATTCAATGTTTGTGTGTAGATTGACGAAATATTATTCAAAGTGCAACAAGGCGTCAAATGACCAATATGTCTTGTTAGGGCGGCAATGTCCCTACTGGGATTCAATACGTAACTGTGCAAAGTTCTTTGCGTGCTTACATAAACATGTTGGGAACATAGAGACACACATAATAATGTTCAACCATAGCAACATAATTGCTATGTATTTGTAATAAAGCATACGTTTATTGTTTCACTGCCCAAGATTTGTTTTCATTACAATTGATATATCAGAAAAGTTTCGTCGTCAGAAAAAGAGATAACGACTTGTACCTTTGCTTGATTGTCCTGCCGTGACGCTTGTTTATTTCCTCCTCTGCACATTCATGAAGATAGGTCCAGTCCGCATGCATTTTGCAAGGCCAGTCATTTAGGCGCCTTTGGAAGAGAACATTGAATTTCCATTTCAGAAAACAATCACACCTATTGGATACGAGGTTCTTACAATCACACCAAGGTGGGACATTGAAGTCTTTGTCCATATGTCTCGAAAATGTAGTACTTCCAGTTCTCTGTATGCGCAAAAATAGAATAACATCACTTCCATTTGCACTGACATTGAAGTTTCGGATCAAATCCTCGTCAAGGAAGTAATGCCATGTACGCTTTCCTAACATGTACGCTTTATAATCATCCAAGAGCGAGATGTAATGTGTGTAGACATGCGTCGGTACAGAAAACGTATACGTCACTGGAAAATGCAGGTCCAAATATTTAAGCATCGAACATAGGACTATGATAGTCGTCGTCAAAGTTAACACAACAGCTAGACACCTCGAACGCCGTAAGTTCATCTTCACCATAAGCATCCTGTTGCATATACAGCGTGTGGCAAAATGTTCTATCGCAAGATGATTTGGATATGAATTTGACGTGAAACCTATCCAGGCACTGTCAGCTGGCGTGTGTAAGCATGAAAGTCGTCATGACCGGCTGGTTTGTTATCAATTTGCGTCCAACAGGTGGGATCAAATTGAGCAGTGAGCCAAGGCTGACTAGCGTAATGCTACCAATCGTAACAAAAGGCTGAGTTCCAAATGTCAGTTCACATAGGGCTGTTAGTGAGTGAGTGAGTGAGTTTAGTTTTACGCCGCACTCAGCAATATTCCAGCTTTATGGCGACGGTCTGTAAATAATCGAGTCTGGACCAGTGATCAACCCAGTGATCAACAGGATGAGCATCGATCTGCGCAATTGGAAACCGATGACATGTGTCAACCAAGTCAGCGAGCCTGACCACCCGGTCCCGTTAGTCGCCTCTTTACGACAAGCATTGGTTACTGAAGATCAATATTCTAACCCGGACCTTCACGGGTAATAGGGCTGTTAGAGTGGAGTACATATAGAGAAAGTGAGAAAGTACATATACAAGTACTTTGAAGAAAAGTCATCCCTCTAAGCTTCAGTATCCAGGTCTCAGAGGGGATGTTAATACATCAGACTGTTTACAACGGATACAGAGTCTGCACACATAAAATTCATGATTGAACGATTGATGTAAATAACTTGATAATATAATGATTGCCGAATGTGAGTATTGATTAAGTAAACGAAATTCACCTCTGGTCGCAGAGAGAAGCACCGAAAATACACTCTTCAAAAAAGAAACGCATAGGTAATTTTGATAATATTGGACTAATGTAGCTGCGGCAAAAGCAATACAAATATACTGTTTCTTTCTGATTGTAAACAGCCTTTGTGCCAAATTGGGGCAGTGGGGTAGCCTAGCGGTTAAAGCGTTCGCTCGCCACGCTAAAGACCCGGGTTCGATTCCCCACATGGGTAAAATGCGTGAAGACCATTTCTCGTGTCCGGCGCCGTAATATTATTGGAATATTGCTAAAAGCGGCTTATGACGATGGGTCTGCAGTTGTGAACTCTTTGTCTTTAGACGTGTGAGTTTTCACCTTTGTACCATTGAAATTACATGACATAATTGTTCTTAAACTGAGGGACCGTTCATAATGTGTGGCCATGGGAGATGATGAAAATGATTATGCAGAAGCATGTACAATGACACCCCCATCCCCACCCCAAAACCTCCGGTACAATTTATGCACAAAGTAAGTGACCCCCCTGCATGTCATACACAAAATCAATTACCACCCCTAAACCCCATCAATTTTTAAACATAATGTATTATTTATATGTACAAAGTTGCTTCTTCCTTCATGAACATGCATGTAACAAGACACACAAAAAGACAAATACGAGAGCTTGACGTTACCTACAAGCAGTCTGTGACGATGAATGACAACTGGGGCCGTCGTTTGGTTTGCTACTGCAGAACGCCTCAGTTTTACGCACTGACATGATGGCAATACAAACTCACACCAGTGTGCCACCAGTGAGTCTTTCATCTGGCTGCTATATTCTTGTGTTAAGTATCGACACATTGGCGGATCCCCCTTTCTCCTGAAGATTTATTAAATGACCATGGAAACTGACATGAAAACGGGTGAAAATTAACTGTCCACCCCCATCCCGCCCCTGCCACAGTTTACATTCAGTATCCTGTCCGTGGTTAAGTGTTCCATAGTTCTTGTAACTATGGGGATTGTCCTTTTCCAAGCATCCGTGATCTACCTTCATTTGTTGGCGATCGTAACTTATATAATTATCATTTTATAGTAACATGCCATGTTTTAATTTTTAATCTGTGATAGTCTACTTATTTTACTGTCCTTTATCCGACAGAGAGTTATATGGCTTTTTTTTTTCTTAATATTTTTTTACATATAGATAACTCTCCTAATCGCGATATGGTTGAAATATTGCCGATGTGACTCACTTACTTATTCATCCATTCAAGCAGCGGGTGTAAGACGCGTGGAGTTATATACACTTCAGAATCAGAACAGTGAGAAGAGAAACAAGGATTGAGAGTATGTATCTTCGGAACTTGTAAGCTTTATCATCCTGCTTTCTTTCAAACCGAAGCTTAACAACAAACACCACCATATGTAATTGAAGATGATTTTCACTCTCCACGGATTTAAGGGCACAATATCTACCACCATATTGCCATGGATATCCTAATACGTGTGAGTTTAATTTGGTTGATGAATTCTAATAATACAAGTAATAATAGCAAACTTTGTATGTACTGTATATACATCATGCTTTATGATTGTATACCATTGTATGCCCTTGTACTATAGTCCTCTTCAGTATTGGAATAAAAAAAAGATTTAATGAATTCTTAACTAGGGTGTCTAAACTGAAAATCATACAATATCTTTGAGCGACAAATTTGTCTGACGCTAAGTGAAGACATCTATGCTTGTTTTCCAATTTTAACCTCGCGTGGTAGGTATTCCCTTCATTGTTATAGTTGTTATATTTCTGGGTCTCTTTGGCAGACAGGTACTTTGGGGCCATCGGGTCATCGTGCATAAACGTAAATAACGTTTTTCTCGCAAAGCCTATTTCTAAAGCATCTAATATGCCCGCGAATGTCTACATTAACGTGTATAATTGTTTTGAAAAGCTCACAGCGATTACTTGTAACTTGATGACAGATAAGCATGCTATTTAGTTTCAATGCTACTGTAAGATTCATCTTATGCAGAGACCAGCTGTTATCGTTATCACAGATTGTGTTCATTTTCTATTATGAAAATTTAGCACTGGGGTTTGTCTACAATGAAACACTTCTATGCCATATGCATCACACTGACCCATGTTTGTCGCAAGAGGGGACTGGAAAGATTGGGTAGTTAAACTCTCTGACGTGATTGATGCAATGGGCGATGCTCATGGTGTCAATCAACAGATTGTCGTTTCCGGGCTGGATTATTTACAGACCGCAGTAATACAGCTGTAGATAGAATACAGCTGTAGATAGAATACAGCTGTAGATAGAACACTGCGGCGTTAAACACCAAACAGACTGGCAAAGGCTGAACCCACACATATGTCGTTATGAGATATGACAAGACGTGCGCTATAGTTGCAACACTGTCAAACTAGGGCTTCCTTTCACAATGAACTCAGATGATCGTAAGTCACTAAGGTGACCTTAGTGCAATGGTAAAGAATGGGAGTTAAGGTTAACCTTAGTAAAGGTTGCTTCGTGAAAGGAGCCCCTGGACTGATCACACCGATCCCTCTACTATCCACCCATTGCATTGACCAGCTGCGTTTGCGCATGGAACGCATGGTCAGCAACAGACTGACATGATGGTATATAAAATCCAATGATTTAATTACAAATATCCAGTGTGGACATCGGTTCCCAATTGCGTATATCCATGCTCATGCTGTTGAGCACTGGATTGTCTGGATCCGATTATTACAGACCGCCGGCATATAGCCGGAATATTGCTGAGTGCGGCGTAAAAATAAACTCACTCACTCACTCCAGTGTGAGTGTGATATTAATAGTTAACGTCACATCGGCAATATTTCAGCCATATCATGATGAGTGCATATTTGACATTGAAATGTTATATGTTAAACAAGTAGAATATCACAGGTACAACTAAAACTAGTGTGGAAATTTAAAACCAATAGCACTATTTGGACAATACAATATAGAAACTGGTTATAGATCGCCAACCACTGAAGGTAGATCACCAAACTAGGAACCATGGGGACTTACAGTACTTTTGCTACCTGCATGGACCCTATCTGAAATTTATATCATCCCTTCAGCAGCTGGCGATTGAAGTCAATTTTAGCCTAAATTAAAATGACATAAATACTACTGTAGCTGTATCATGAGCTTGCCCAAGAGCAGTATGGAGCTTATGTAGCGAAAATAATTCGTTAAAATCTTCGCCATTATCCGATTTAAAATTAATTCTTTTCTTCTCCTCTTGTTTCTGATATTTTTTAAACTCGGGAACATAATTTGATGAAAAAGAATGCTTGCCGAGGGTTTCACCAAGTTTATTCGCAATGTCAGCTTTATCAGCTGATAAATTTTCACCGTCTTTAAGACTTTTTCGAGCCTTTGCCTTTATCCCTTGGACCATGTTCCACACCTTTGAAATCGGTGTACGGGAATGTATTTTGGAAACAGTTCCCGCAAGACTGACGCTTATTCTGTTTAAATGCGCATTGAGCCTTGGCATTTAAAATTTTAACTTTATCGAAATTATGGACAGTAGGATGCCGGCGAAAATATTTTTCAGCTTTCTTCCTACCCTTTCTGGCCTGTTTACATTCATTATTAAACCATGGTTTACGAATATGGGGAATTGCAGAGGATTTGGGTATCGCTTGGTCAGCAATGTCATTGAGTATATCGGAAAACAATTGTATAGGATCTTCGCTGTTCACAAATACGTCATGTTTTAAGTGATCAACACACAAAGCCTCATATAATGACCAATCAGCCCAGGCGAAGTTTCTTCTTGATGAAGGTGGATCATCACCAGGGCTAATTGTTTTGAGAATGGTTGGGAAGTGATCACTCCCACAAAGGTCATCATGAACCATCCATTCAAATTCATTATATAAGTTGGAATCGGCAAGTGACAGATCCAGGGAAGAATATGTTCCCATAACTGGATGTAAAGAAGTGGCTGAATCGTCATTTAAAAAACATAAATTATTATCAGAAATGAATTCCTCAAGGATTTTACCTTTCTTATTAGTAAGGGCACTTCCCCAAAGCGGGTTGTGTCCGTTAAGATCGCCCATGATGAGACATGGCTTCGGAAGTTGATCATACCGATTTTGAAGATCTGATTGTTGAATATTTGAACAGGGAGGTATATACTAGCTGCACAAAGTCAGAGCAATGTGCAGAGTTAGACGAACTGCAACAGTTTGAAGATCCGTATTTAAAGTCACAGGGCTGTCAATGACACTATGGTGCACCAACATAGAGGCGCCTCCAGTAGCTTTATCGCCTGGAGGGGAGAAGGAATGATAATCACTAAACCGTCTTAAGTTAAAGGTATCAGTATTTTTAAGGTATGTCTCTTGAAGACATAATAATGACGGTTGAAGATCTTGAATGAGTAATTGTATTTCATTGAAGTTGTTCTTCAGTCCTCTGCAATTCCGATAAATTATATTAGACAACTAAGTCATGATGGTGCCTCAACTGGTGATCGCCCCCGTGAATGTGAGGAGGAGCTATTCCTCCGCCTGTCCTGTGAAGATAGGGTAACCTCCACGTCTAGAGGTCCAAATGGGTATCTAGAGGAAGCACTAAAGGTGAAGGGATGGTTGGTGTCTGTTTCTTATTCATTTTTTTCCCTTTCGTTTTCGACAGGTTAAGTGTGTCGGGCTGTTTGTCAGACGGTTTGGATTGTGTCTCAGTCTGAGATCCAGATGAAGCTGTAGTGACTG